TTATATTTTATTTCATCCACACTAGACAATCTAAGAGATGTTCATGAGGAGTACTAGGGAATTTTTTTCAACATCTTTGCACTTTTCCTTCTAGATGTTTGCCCCAGTAAAGGGGAATATTGGCCCATTTTCGGTCTTGGCCACTGAACAGTGCTGGCGGTGGAGAGACCCTCCTGTGTAATTTAAGTAACACAATAACGAAGCTCGCCCCAAACTTGAGGGGGTGTGGCAAGGTGGGGATTTTCTGTGTCTGCCTTGTCACTTTTTTTGAAGGCTCACATGGGCTTTCCTTTGAAGGCTGAGAGAAGGAAGCACAGAACTGAAACCCAGATCAGCACCACAATGGCTATTCATGAACTGAGGAAATGCAATCGCTCTCCTAGGCCAGGGCCAGGGCAGGGTGGGGAGGGAAGAAAGAGGTGTGCCTCCAAACCAGGTTTAGGGATGCTGAGCAGAATTTGAACCAGACAGGAACTTTTTAAGTGCCTGGTCAACGCTTTATCCCTGTCAAAGCTTTTGCCATATTAATGTTATTCATCTGGTTCTTTCAACCACCCTATGAAGCTGGCAGGGTAGAAAGGATGAAGAAACAAAAGGAAGTTAGTATTAATTGCTAATGTTATTGCATACTTCCCCTGTATAGCCAATATACTAAGCACCTTGCTTAATCAGATTTTAATCCTCACAACCATTTTATGAGGCAGATAGAGTTCCCTTAATTATCCTTATTTTAAAGAGGAAGCAATTATGACTTGAGTCGAGTTACTAGGAGATGATACCACCAGGATTTAAAACAGTGGTCTCTGATACCAGAGCCTTAGCTCTTTACCATTGTATCAACCACCTCCTCCCTCCAGGGTCACATGGCTGAGAGGAGATCCCAACTGGAGGTGGTCAGGATTTGAGACTAAAGTGAAGTCTGGGGCTCACCTCATCCCCCTTTGAAGGCCACTCATCCACATTTCACTCTTCCTCCTGCACCCATCACTCACTGGATCCAACACATGGACTTCTTTGCCTGTTTCACCTTGCCCAATGGGAATGTCTGTGCTATGCAGGGCACATTCTGACACATCTGGCCTGATCTGCAGCAGGGCCTTTGCTCAAGGACATGGTATGTTTTCATTTAGGTGGTATACAAGGATGCCTGGCTGGGGGTGTGCATGGGTGCTGAAATCCAGCCCATGGTCCACTACTGAGTCTTGTGCATCTGTGTGCCTAGAAACACCTTTTTCTAATGAACACAAAGACCCTAGGGTGTGGCAGTAGTTCCCTATCTTCCTAGGCTCCACTTAAGTATTTAACCTGGGCCCCATTCCTTAAAGAACATACACTTTAGAAACTAACGGCAGGGGGCTGTAATTAGATAAATTAATTTCTGCTACTTGATATTTTAGATTTTATTGCACTAGCCCCCTCACCCTGTCATAATCCAATAACACAAAAGTGCTATCAATGGCAGGAAACTAAGGCATTTAGAAGCTCATGGGGGAGATATTGTGAGTTGGGGACCAAATTTATCTACATTTGTTCTCAGATTTAAAAGTGCATCAGTGACTCAGAGGGCTTGTTACAACACAGGTTGCTGAGCCCACCACCTAGCATTTCTGATTCAGTCAGTCTAAAAAAGGACCCAAAGATTGCATTTTTAACAAGTTCTGGGTCTGGGGTTCATACTTTGAGAACTACTGATCTAAATACTTCCTGACTCATTCTATAGATGAGCTTCTTATTCCACCAACATTTCCTGATAAAGATACACACAGCCACATTATTCTATTATAATGGTAACAATAATAAGAATAGTAGCTAACAGTAATTAAACACTATTTTCCAGGCACTACTCTAGGCACATGATATGTGTTAATTCAGGTTCAGGGTGAGAGCGTGAGAACTGAGAAGAGTGAAAAGAGAAAAGAGAAAAGAGATTTTTGAAGCCAAGTACTGGCCCTAGTCTACAACCTTCCAAAGATTGACCCCTAACACTAGCAGGTCAAGAAGCAAGGAAAGAGGTTCAAGGAGAAAGGTAGGGAGAACTCTGCATTAATGAGTGATTTTTGGGTTCCAAATTGTGTTCTCTTTGGCATTTACCTTCATTAGCAGGAGCTTTGTGTAAGAGACTGTGACTAGGTGTGCAGGTGTATGTGTGTGTTAGCGTGTCCTCTTCTTGCTTTGACATTCTCTAATCATCCAGCTTTGGGCAAGTTCTTAACCTCTTCAAGTTTAAGGTAGCTATCTGTGAAATACTAATAACACTACCAATACAACTTTTAATACTACAATGGTAGACTGTGTGATGCTCACAGATTGCTCCCACCCAATATCTAGGCCCCTTTGCCAGGTGACTTTTGCAGCTCTCTCCATCAAGAGGTGGAGTCCCCACTTTCCTCATGGTCCAACTATACTAAGCAAATCCCAAATCCTCATACACCAAGTGCTATCTGATAAAGAAAACAATTGGCACACAGATTTTCCTCTTACACAATTCCAAGAAGTTAGATCAAATGATTTTTATTTCGCTTTTTAACTTTATGAATGTTGAGGCAGAGTACCATTCAAAATTACTTTTGATTACCCAAGGACAAGGGGGGTGGGAGGTAGAAGAGTATAAAGAGGGATAAATGGTGATGGAAGGAGACTTGACTTGGGGTGGTGAACACACAATACAATATACAGGTGAGGTATTATCGAACTGTACACCTGACACCTATATAATTTTATTAACCAATGTCATCCTGGTAAATTCAATAAAAAGAAATAATAAATAATAAATAATAACTCTATCAAGAGCCCAGAAACTAAAACAATAACAAAATTACTTTGAAAGGACCAGCATTTTACCTCCCAAGTGACTCACTTACTTTTCAAAGTCTCCAGCTATAGCTGTTTATAATCGGCTGTTACAAAGTAAATGCTTCCAGTAAATCAAATATGACCTGACCTGGATGCCTTGACTGAGGTATGAGGGTTGTGGGAAACTGCAGTTTTAGAACCTGCCTTTGGAAAGAGCATGGCTTCTACACACTCAGCTGCCCAGGATAGAGTTAAGATTTTGCCTGAGCTCAAGAGTAATGGGAACTTGAGATAGTTGCAGTCGTTCTGGTGTCCCATCTAAAAGATCATAAACATAGAAGTAGATTTCACTTTAGAAAAAGACTAAAACCCCAAAAACCTACAGTGTATTTGTCATGACCTGAGCTTCCATGCCCAGCTCTTGGGCTGCATCCCCGGAGCTCTGTAGCCCACTGCTGGGTGGGCCCAAAGGCTGGCGTGCCTGTGACGGAGCTCCAGGGCTGGGTGTCCTTGGCTCATGCCAGCAGAGCCCGGCCACCTCTGGGAGCTCTCTCTGTGTTTGTTTCACAAGGTCAAATCTGGGCAAGAATAGGGAAAATTGTTTTTCTAAAAGACAACTCCTTAGTGTCCAGACAGATATGTTTCCATTGTAGTTTTCATTCATCATGTTTCTTATATATATGTGTGTGTATACACACACACACACACATATATCAACACAGAAAAAATAAATATATATATTTAAGCTCAGATGTAAGTGAATACTCCTCTAAACTGTTAGAATGCAGGGTTGGCTGAGGCACATTCAGCCAAAATGAGAATGTGCCCCACCAAGAAGCATTCCATTTCAAACATAAGTGGTGAGTCTCACTGACACCAGTGGTTGAAAGGGTTCAGGAGCTGGAGGTTTAGGGAGAGCAGTGTCAGTTCATGATGATATTGGAAGGACCAGCTCTCCTCGATTTCCTGTCTTCCTTCCCCACCTTCCAAGCCCAGACAGGTCTGAAACCATAATAATGATCCAGCTAGAAGAGGTGGGTAAAAAGCTAAGTGGCGAGTGAGAGAATTTGGACATGTTCCCTTTTCCTACTTCAAGTTCAAACTGATAATAAATCATGAGAGAAGAAGCTAACATTTAAATTGAATTTAGAGTTTGGGTTATTTTCTGAAATGGATATTTTTGTTAACGGATTGAGAGTAAGTTTTGAGTTTGAAAGTGATGTAAAGAGTGTCCAGGAAATCACGAGGCCTTCCTCACTTCTATTCAGAGGCCAGTGAAGAGCTAGGTCACAGGGAAGACTTATAGTCAAGGAGAAGTGGAGATCACATCTTAAGAATTATTCAAAGGACTGGCTCTGTTGGTTTTGTGATCAATAATGAAGTATCTGTCCACTGGATGGGAACCATAGGCAATCTTAAACTCTGCACAAAACGAAAGAAACCAGAGCACTAAAATGAATAAGTCATATGCATAGTGTGGGACTTTTGCTTTCTTTGAATTATCTAATTGCTTATTAGCAAACAGCTAGACACTGTCAAATGAAACTTGAGCTTCTTTGATTGGCTTTAATTACACTATTATTGCCTAAAATGATGGCCTAAAACCCTGAGTGGAAAGCAAAACCGAAGAGGTAACGCCTGTTACCAGAAGCACGATACCAGCCATCTCCATGACCACACCTTGGCTGCCCCTCAGCCATTCCATTGATGTGTCCTCCTGGGGGTGCTGATGTGGAGTTGGTGTGGGACTTAGCTTCCCTTGACCATGTTCACAAATCAAGAGTAGTAATTCCTAAACCTTGTGCTGCTTTGTGACTATTTCTCCTCCCTTATGAGCTCACGTGACTGTGAGAGAAATGCAGGGGGATCTACAAGGTACTGATTTCAAAGTCCATTTCCTGTTTTGGGTTATGCTTAAGACTATGAAGCTGACTTTGATTCAGAAATGTGAACGACTACACAAGTGTGGTTCTGACATGGTGGCCTAATTATGTTCATGTTAGAAAGATGTAGAATTTTTCATTCAATTCTCAAGATTTTTGCATTACACCAAATGCATTCATGTACAATCAGCAGCTAGGGCACACAGTACCTAATCATCTACTGGCATAGTGCCATTCCCAGCATTCCCAGCAAAGCAAGTCTTTTCAAGCAATGGGCTTCCTGAGAGCCTCACAAACCACACTCCACACCCTCTGTCCTCTTACCTCTTCTGTGGTGCTAGAGAAGGGCTGAGTGGTCCAGGGAACCCATGATGTCTCCATCCTTCCAGTCATCTGCAGACTGGGGTGCTGCCTCTGGCTGTGGTTTTGGCTGGCGTTGCCAGTAGTACTGCCGGTGAAGGCCTCTGTGGTGTTGCTAGTGGGGTGCTCGGGGCTATACGGAACCGCATGAAAAGCAGTGGGAATTTGGGGAGGAGCCGTGTTTCTGATGCTTCTCACTGAAACTTCTGCTCCCCGGCCAACTGAGGTAGAGAAAGGACAGCTGTTAACATTACCCTCGTGTTCTTATGGATTCCTCACATAGAAGCAATTTTTTCTTAGAAAAGGAAAAAATCTATAAGGACAGACATGTGCATAAGCTTTAGTTATATGAAAAAAAACAAAACAAAACAAAGATACATTGAGTGTTGTGATGCTCATTTGCCCTGTTCAGTTCACCCATCCTTTATCCAACTACCAGCAGCATCCCAGCTCTGTGCAGAAGATGGAATTACATTTATCCCATGGACATTTAAGGTCACTGACTTGGTTTCAGGGGTTCCATGGATCTCTAAACACTTCATGTAAAATTCTTAGTATATGTATATACATAGGTACTTTTTTTTGTGGGGGACTCTTACAATTTCTCAAAGGGGTCATTAAACAAAATGCCAGATTGAGAACGACTGTTAACGACTTGCCAGACTTTGCTATGAAGATTGATGATTCTTTGGAAAATAATGACATTTCTTTAACCACAGTGCAGACTGTTTCTAACCCTAATTGTGTGAGTACCAAACCATGGGACAGTTCTGTTTTCTGAGCTACTTATCTTTGGAAGAACAGTTAACTGATTTAAAACTTAGGAGGTGGTAGGATTAATTCACAGCTTTGTTTTGCAAGGCCAAATTGCCCATACTTAAAAAGAAATTACTTTGTGAATTACATTTATCTAGCCATAATTTAAAAATGTGCTTCCGTCTTATGAAGATCTTGCCAAAAAGCAAATTCTGATTCACTGGAGATGGTCAGATTCAGCTTGTCTAACAAGCTCTCAGGTGATGTCGGTGCGGATGCTGAGACCACTCTTTGTGCAGCAAAACCCTAGAGAATGGTTGTATGATCTGAAGCACTGGAAAGGTCTGTGAATCATGGGCTGAGATGGTCTGTTTAGATGTTTCCATCAGCTTCATAGTAAATCACAGTCTCTGGGATAAAAAACCCACAAAAACCTTGCCCAATTTAAATAATCATAACTTTGAAGAGTTTCTGGTTGAAAGATGCAGAAGAAAAATGATCTTTTTCACTATTTCTTTACTGGTTCATTCAAACAACCATTTATTAAGCAACTACCATGTGTTAGGTGGAGTTGTCTTGGAGATGCTATTAATCATCTCATTCTCCCTGTTCTGGACCACCTTACTGACCCCTCTTTTGGACCTTATTCATTTCTGTTCCAATTTAAGATAATTTATCTCATATGATAGTATATATAAGGGTGAGGAGGATAAGGTTTAAAAAAAGAATAAAAATGAAAAAAGTATTTTTAAAATTTAGCAAGATATAAATAGCAGTGCTCTTAAAAGTTAATAAAGTTATCGTGGCTATTAAGCATTCTTTCACCGAGCTGTGGAGGGTTGTATAAAGTAACCTTACATAGGGTTGCTACATTTATCAAATAAATACACAGGATGCCCAGTTAAATTAGAGTGTTAACTAATAATTCCATATATTTAATAGATCTCAAATACATAATATTACAAAGGTTATGTTATATTGTATATTAGAAATATACTAAAAATTATTTGTCATTTATCTGAAATTCAGATATAGCTGGGGGTTGGTGGTAATGCCAACCTTACTGCACATCTACTAAATCTAGGCTTGGACAGATTTTTGGACATTCCCCTTAGTTTCTGTTTTTATCTTTCAGGATCTTGTGCCACTGTCACTGCCATTGGGCTGGGGTTGGCCACTCTGATCATAGATCAAGAGATTTATATATCCCTGGCACGTTTTCTGCATGACAAACCCAACTGTCATGTAAGAGAGGCTTTCAACTCTGTGAAGCAGTGTTGATTCTGCAGTCTTAACTGAGTGAGCTGATTGAATGTCCCCTTAAGTGGATATTTGTCCATTGCTGGGATATAAAAATTTCTGTATGTGGAGATTAGTATTTTAGTCATTTTGAGCTTTGGCCAATGCTGATGCTCTTAGTTGATTACCACCTATGACATTTTTAGCTCTCAGACCTTAAAAAAAAAGATTTAATGATGGGGTTAGGACAAAAACCAGCTTCCAAATATCTATCATGTAATTATGTATCTGCATACATCAACCTATGCTCCCTCTTCCTTGCTAAGGAGCACTTGTTAAGTGCTCATCCCAAGAACTTTTTGGAAAATTTCATCAACTTACATAATTTGTTCAATGGATGAAACAGGACTCTCCCAAAATTAGATAAACAATCAGAGCATTCTTGAAAAGTTTTCTGCGAATAACATTGCTTATTATCATTGCATGTAACTTTGGGGTATCTTATGGAAAATTTTTCAATCTTCTGTAATTGTTTTTAATTAACCTTCTACATTTATTTATAAAACACCTCAAACCAAACAAGTCCATTTTCCATTTTAGGCCACCACCTTTTTTTCCAAAGAAAGAACTTACAAAATATCTAAGTTAAATACCCCTCATTTTGTGTCTGTGTTTCTAACTTGTGCTATTTAAGAAGCAGGAAAGAAGCTTTAGTCTTAACATTCAGTTTCCTAATTTTTTTTAAATTTTAAAGCTGTGGTTTGCAAATGTTGGATGGCATCAAAATCACCTTTGGGGTTTGTTAGAATTTGAAGCCTTGGCCTTCCTCCTAGAAATTGTGATTCAGTAGATTTTGTGTGGGACCCGCCACCTGCATTTCTAACAAATTTCTAAGTTGATTCTAATATACATCTAAATATATGATTTTATTCACATATATAACATGAGCCAAAATCATTCCTTATCTGGGTATTAAAGATTATAAAGTAGATAGAAGGAAAGAAAATCCAGGCAGAAATATATAAAGTGGTCAAAGAAGTTACCTTTCACATCTCCTGAACCCATTGTTGAAATGGGTGCTAGGAAATTGTAAAAATAGTACATCTTTGGATGTTTTGGTGTCTATATCTTTCTGATGTTCTTAAAAGAAGTATATGCATTTCACAGTTCATGAAAGAGCAAGATGTGTTTTGACAAATGCAAGCAAAAGTTCTTACACAATGGAACAATATGTTGAAGCTATTTTTAAAAAGCTTTATTGTACCAATGCTGCCACATTGTTTTCACATTATACACAATCCCTTTTAGAATGCTCTCTAAGAAAGGGTAGGCTATCACTAAAAAGGGCCAGTCTAAAAAGTTTTGCATTTAAGTTGCAAATGGCTCACCTGTGAGATGATTTGCAATCATTACAGCATATTAAGACCATATATTGAATACATTTAAAATAATAAATGTATATTTTAGTTTACTAATTAGCCTGATTGGCTCAGATATAATCAATAACAGAAATGAAATTTTGTATAACAATAATAAAGACAATACCCAGTTTGTTAGTTTTCCTGCTTTAAGTGATACTGATAATTTTTAAGCATGTTGAAAACATAATAACCTGAGTTAAACTTATGTGGAGGTAGAAAGTTTTAACTACATTGGTACTTTCTATAATCTAGAAAGTATAGAAAGTATTAATCTTATGGATAAACAACATGCATATTTGTGTTTTAGATTATAATATTTAGTTATCAACTCTTAAAAAGGACATTTGGAATCGTTCATTGCAAACATCTGAATGCAATTAATTTTTCACAATGGATTCTCTAGAAAATCAGTAAGCTTTCATGCATTGGGTCACCTACTATCATTCTGAATCTTTAATTAATGGTAAGCATGAGATGGAGCAGAAAAATGTGTTACCTTGTAATTGTGTTAAAGCAAGTATTGTCTTTGTACACTCAAAAAAATGATTTTTTAATATCATAATTTTTCAAATTTTAACTCTGTTTTTTCTACAATTGTATGTTTTTCTCCAACACACATTGCCAGGTATGTCTGTTTGGTGGTTAGATGTAAATGGTTGATCCATCCACTTTACTTTTGAAGCAAAGTCTATCATTGTACATGTTTTGCATGAAGGTCAAAGGAGATAGTTTTTCCATGAAAAACTATTAATTCTTTACTGAAGTTATATCTACTTTTTAAAAAGTTTCAGTGAAAGAATATTCTTGTGAATAAAGTTTGATTGAACATTGGGGATGAATCTCACTTCTTGTATATTACCATATAGAGAGAATATTCACGATGATCCCCTGTGGTTTATGACAGGCCCTGTGATATGAATTACAGAAAAAAAATGCACAAATTGGTGCTATATGCTGCATATTCTCTGATAAAGTTGAAATTTCTGATTGACTTTTATGTTTTTACATGATTCTCATAGAACTTTTATAAGGATAGAGACTATAACACCCAAGTCGACTTCTATCACGAAACAGCTCACTACATTTAATTGGCATCGAAATAAATGCTTATTTAATTTATGAAATGAATGAGTGTCAGAAAATTATCCAAAGAGTAGCATGGTAGAAAGACTCATACAAACATCAAAAATTAACATCTAATAAAAATATTTACAGATACAGTATATGCTGATGTCTAAAGGAGATTGTAGATCAAAATTATCTGGAGAAGTTCTTTAAACATATAAAGACTTGTGCCCAAATTTGTATTTCTTGAAACACAACCTTGGAGGTGGTAGTGGGGAAAGAAATGAGGGCAGCAATTCCTTCCCCTTCCCCAGGTGATTCCTATGCAGCCACCTGGGCAAAAGTTGGTGGTCAAGCATTGGGGAAACACCATACAGTGGAATGTACACTAGATGAGAAGTTAAGAAACTTGGGTTCTAACCAAACTTCTCTCACTAAATTATCTGGGATAATTCATTTATCCTTGACAAATGTCAGCATCCTTGATGAACATCTTCATTTCTAGATAATTTCTCCAGTGTTGTGTAAGGTCTGTTTGTACCTACTAGATAATGATTCTATTAATTTTGTCTTTCATGACTTCCTAAAGCAAACCTCTAAGAGAAGTAATAAAGTGTTGGAGTAAAATAGAAAATTAAGTTGCATCCACAAATAAAAACATTTCAGCACAGGACTAAAGTGCGTGTTGCAGCAGGAGTTTGTGCCTGTGTACATAAGTCTTTCCATGTGACTGTCAGTGGTTAACAAATTAGAAAGCTCTGTGGCTACACATTTGTTTTTACCATTTCAAAAGTATGCAACCCCCAACAGATATCTACCCCTAAATATTAGTGCAAGAGATTTGAAGAAGCACAGTTTAGTATCTTTCCAATCTTCTCAAGCACCATTTTGATGGTCTAGTAGTTTCTTATAATCAGAGAATCGAAGTGTCTACATCAGCAAAATTTTTAATTTCCTGATCACTTGCTTTAGTCATGATGCATGTATGCTGTGTTTATGCTTAGATCTGTGTTCATATATCTAATAGTGCTTAACCCAAAGTGCCTAGTGTCTGGCACAAAAGATAAACTCAAGAAATATTTGTTGAATTAACAAAGAAGTGAGATCCCTAACCAGTGTGGCTTTACTGAGTGTGGCTCAGTAAAGCCACACTGGTTAGGTGGCTTTCCGTAAAGTGAAAGGTCACCAGTTCGATTCCCAGCCAGGGCACATGCCTGGGTTCTGAGTTAGGTCCCTGATGGGGGTGTGTACACGAGGCAACTGATTGATGTTCCTCTCTGACATCTATTTTTCTCTTTCTCCTTCGCTTCCCCTCTTGTTAAAAATAAATAAATAAATAAATAAATAAATAAATAAATAAATAAAATCTTTAAAAAATAAAAGAACCAAGAAAAGAAGGAAAGAAAGAGTGAGAAATAGACAAAAAGAGAAAAGTTGGGCTTATTTTAATGGGGTAATAAAGTTTTGCAAGTCGGTGGGTACTACATAATCCCTTTCCATCAGCTTATGAATTTCCCATAGAAATTGTGTTGGGGCATGTAGTCTTCCTTTGATGTGAAAAGAACAGGACATTTAGCAGAAGAACTTGCAGAGTTGATTCTGAAAGGAATAGCTCACCTTTTTTTAAGCAGAGGTTTTCATTGACTGGTTTTCCCTCCTTGTTGACCTCTGTTTTCATCCAGCTATGGAAGTATTTCTTCTCCTTCTGGACCACTGCTTTGTTGCCTCGTTTCTTGAGAAAGAGAGAGGTATGCTCCACCTCAAGGTACCCTTCTTTCTCATGGCAAGTCCATCGGGGGGCCTGGGAGCAGTGGACAAAGATGGCTGATCGGGAAGGGCCGCCAGAGGAGTTGGAGATGCTCAGGCAGAGTGCAGATTTTACGTGAAGGAGTTTTCCATCCTCAGCCCATGTCCACTGCTGGTTCTGGTTGGTGCCATTGCACAAGCCTATGGACACCATCGTATTTCCGAGAAGGCACTGTTGTTTCCGGACATGGACAATCTGAAACCCCTCTGGAGGATGAAAAGCTCATCTAGTACCACGTATAACAACAAATGACAAGGCCCACCAGAAAGTGAAACAACTTACCCACGAATCAGCCAATTAAAATAAAAGGTTTACTTATCTTTTGTTATTACTACCATTTCAAGTGACTATTCCCAGATTTGGTACAAGAAATTTAAAATCCCAAGGCTGACAATGTAAAAATGTCAAAATGTCACACTTAGCTTCGTTGCTTTTACTTTCACACGGTTTAGGGAAGAACACACACCCCCACTGAAGTGATGAAAGGAAGCTTGGAAGAGAAACAAACCACCCGAAGATCATGGTGTGATGTTTTAGTCCAATTAGTTAAATACGCTGAAACCATGAAAAGCTCAGTTCCCTTTTCAACCATTTTATCCTTTCTCTGTCACTTCCACCCCCAACTTTAAAAAGCACCTTTTTTGGCAATCCTTAAGTTATCATTGCAATAAATATTTGTATATAAATACAGAGTTTAAATAAACATTTAAAAATTGGATGCATTTACCTTTCTAAGCACACCTTATTGTTAACTACCAGTAACCAATGAAAGTATTGATTTTCACAGACTAAATTTTTTTATAGTTCTAGAAAGAAGCATTTCTCAATTTTGTGACAATACCTACAATTTTTCTTCAAATACAAACAGATTAAAATATCAGCACTTCTTGATGTAAGAAAATTAAATACCCAATGGTTAAACATCAGTATTTAAAAGTGACGTTTTCGGGCTCAGAAACCATTTTCAACGTGTTTTCACTCAGTATGCCCAGCTCCATGAAAATATTCCGACCTTCCTGCCAAACAACAACTTCCAAATTAAGCACACCATACTCCTTAATCCCCTTTAATTGCATTTCTTATGTCTTCTTTCTTTCACTCTCATACACAAAAACACAACATCATAACCTCACTGGGAAAAAAAATGGAGAATGCCCCAGACTGTTACACAATAATAAAAATCTCTCCTCAGGACTCCTTCCTCTTGGCTGTAAAGATGCCTTTCAGGAGCTGCCCCAGGCATCTGCAGGACACGAGGAGGCCTTTTGTTTTCTTTTGGGGAGAAATTTCAACAGTGTGGGCAGAGCTGGCTCCTTTTATTCCCCCTCCTCAGCCTCTTTGGCTAAACTGCCCTGGACGGAGACCCGGCTCCATTTCCGCCTCATTTCGGGCACTTTTCAAAGGACAGAGTCTCCTCTGGCACCTACTGGAGAAATGCGTGGGGATACGGAGGCAGGCCCACTCACCTGAGTTCCCGGAGATCAAGCAGGTAAGAATCGCCATGTAAAATGCAGCCTCCATTTTCCACTTAACAACTGTTCATGCTTCGCTTGGGGGGGAAAATTCTCAGATAAGAGAAGCAAAGAGTAGGGAAGGAAATGTGCCTTCATGGTGGGGGGGAAAGTCAGTGACGAGCATTTCCTCCTATTGAATTGTTTGGGGAAGTTTTACACCAGTGTCCTTTTGTCTGTTTCCTTAGAAAGAAGGGATTATGATCACCTCTCTTTTTTTATGTAGAAAAAATTCCAGCCTCCAGGAGCAGAATAAAACTCCCAGGTTTTCTCCAACCATCCATCCCTTTGGCACTGCTTAACCTCAAGAGGGAAGAAAGGAATTGTAATCTTAGATAATTGAATGTTGCTGCAACATTACATCTCTTCAGGTGCTGTGATTCTGCTGAATAAACACAAACCATGTGATTTATGAGGGCCTGTGACAAGTGATCTGAAGACGTAAACATGTACTGTTCCTATAATGATATGCTGGGAGTCTATTGAGGAAAACCACATAATGATGGCACTTCGAGACCATTATCTCTCCGGTGATGACAATAGGTATTACATTTGAGATGGTCATCTCGACTGGGGAGAGGTCGAGACTAAGGCCAAACACATCATCTACTTCAGACGTGCCCCAAAAGATAACAGCCCCTCTCCAAAAAGGAAAAAAAAGTACCTGCTTTACTCAATCATTAGTATTAAGAGTAGTTTATTGGCAGTAGGAAACAAAGCCAACATAGCTGCATTAAAAATTCATATCTGAGCAGAACAGCTAGTGTTTGCTGACTGTAGTTTTTGTTTTTACCTCTATTTGTCTCTGGAGAATTAGAGCCTCTCAGAAATGTCAGGATATGCACGGCAGCATCCTTTTAAAAGAACCTCTCAAAATGTGCCAGGTGACATCATTCCCCAAAGCAACTGCCTTTTATTGGGCAAGAGATTCCAGGTAGACGGCATACTCAAAAACTCCTCAGTGGCAGAGAGAAAAGTATTTAAAATTCTTGACTCATCAGAGTTGCTACAAAGTTGTTTTCCCCTTTTACAGTAAAACGACTCACAAGGTAGAAATACAGGGGATAGAGTCCTGGCACAGAAGCCACTGCGGCGCTCAGCAATAGAGAGTAAATACACACATACCCAGGGACAGTCATTGTGCTCTGTTCATTGATTGACAGGAGGTACTGATAAATACATGTTTAATGGGTAATATTATCAAGACACATTTCCATATAAAATAGTTACTGCTTTTGATTTTTTTCAAAAACAAGTACTTATTTGTTAAAAATCCTTTATCACTCACTTGCAACTTTAGCGGCAAGATTCTGGTAACTGAGAAAGATAATAGCACTTAAAAAGGAACGGTTTAACAGCTGACAGTCCATTCACGAGACAGATTTTGCAAACATTAAAGCATCTAAACACACAATAACTTCTTCAGCAGCTCTTCAGTCATCATCTGATGACAAGTATCACTGAGTATTTCAGACAGACATTCTGTGTGGCAGGTAATTGATATGGACAAGACAAACTCCCCCCAGCTGTGTGAGAAGTCTGTCATACCTCCAGCAGTATAGGACTTTCAAAATAACTTAGGAGATGCTTACAAATGCATTCATATACACAAGGGGCTGGCAACCTTTAACATGTTGCTGTCTTCCACAATCCATGCCACAGCTTGCCTGGAGGGCTTCTCGTTTCTTTCATTGCAGGAAGCTCCTTCCAGAAGCCTCAAGTGGGTAATTGATTAATCACCCCTAGAGACTGATGGTCTGGTAAATCTTCCAAGCATCACTGGACAGTTTCTTCGGAAAGTCTGCTCTCGTACAAGCACAGAGCATGATGCACAAATTCATACTGCTCACTGGTTTGGACCATTCCACCTCTGCAAGGGGGAGACAAGACAGTGACTTCTTACTGCTAACATTTCGCAGTCTCCAGTAACACAGTGAGCACATCCAAGCTAGGGAGTTATGCCAATCAACAGATGACCTGGTGATTCTTTTGGTGCCCGTTTTACCCAACTGGTGAACTTAATATGCTAATGTACATGAAGGGATTAATATAGTGCCTGGTACACACTAGGCACTTGATGAATTTTACTTATATACCATTCCTGAGGAGGCAGTAAAATGTATTGGTTAAGTAGTTGGACTTGGGAACCAGACGGGCTGTGTGAGTTCAAATCTCTCTTCTTCCACTTCTTAGTTGTGTGATCATAGACAAGTTCCTTAAAACCCCCTGTGCCTCAGTTTCCTGTTTTCTAAAAGTGGGATAATTATGGCACCTATTTCATGGGATTCTTGTGAGGGTTAAATAAATTCAGTGAATGAATTGAATGAATATCTGGAGTGTTAGTATTACTTCTCAGGTGCCTTTTCATTCATCGTATGTTTAAATGGTTTATGCACTTGGATTCAAATTGATCAAAGTGGGTTCACCGAACAAAACTCATCTGTGAAATGCTACTCTACCAGTACAAAGAACAACTGCTGTGGAATGGTTTCTCTGAGGATGTTATATGAGAACCACCTCAGCCTCTGGGTGGGGTGCACTGCCGCCCTAATACAATAGTGGGCGGGCCCTTCAGTGAGTTGGAAAAAGGAGAGTGGCTGTTGCTTTTTCCCTTTGTTAGCACCACTAGTTACTCACCATACCTATTGTCATTGGATCAGTAGGGAGTAGCAGCCTTCAGGAGAAATAATGACGTTTCTCATTATCCTTTTATATACAAAATAGCTATCTCACATTTTGCTCTCTATAATAACGGTTCTTGTACTTGGCAAAGCTAATAGGTAGTAACATAAAATGCTACTTATTTTTCCTGCTCAGCATCGTTAGTAACTATCTAAAGTCCTATAAAGTCTCCCTATCTCTGCAATCATACAACTAATTTGAAATTATGTTTTATCCAGTTCTTCCTAGTGGCTGTTGTTACCATTCTAAATAATTATTTTTAGATCATGTAAGCCTCTCCATTTAAAAATAAGATATATGCTTCACTGTAACATGATTTTTGGTTAGTGGTAATTACTAACCAAAACCGGGCTTGTACGTATGTTTACTTACAAACCTCTATAAATATAAGTTTACAAGGTATTCAGAGAGTAAGACTTCACCCTTCTAAATGAAACAGATTGACACAATGCCTAAATGGTATATTTCATAAGAGATAAAGGGGTAAATACACAGTGTCTGGTGACAGCAATCTTTGGCAGAAGTATTCCACCAGTTTTTACTCCTAGAACTGTACATTTTGTTGTACAGAAGGCAACTTTCTGGCCAAGTGTTCCTTGGTTTTAAGTTGACAACAGATCTGCCCAGCTGAGGCTGTGGTAAACCTTCCTCTTAGCTGGATGATGACCCCTGGGCACACCTAAGAACATAGTAGGTATCCAGAAGGTGCTCACCTTGACTGAGAAGCTTGAGTAATTGAGCCACAGTAAATTTTAGAGCAGCTCCAAGGAGCTGAGCAGTGCCTCCCCTCCTCTGGCGCTCACACAGCTTAGGGCAACATTAGCCACACCCCCACCCCCTGAGATGCAAATTGTATGTGCAGCCTTGTACATGTTCCATCTCATGGGCTCTGGTTTGGGAACTTCCTCTCTCTGTTTCCCTCAATCGAGGCAAAATGTCCCCCTTCTTGTCTCTTCTGGTGATCACTGGTATTTACATGACCAACTGGTGAATGAACGAAGGCACAGTGTGGGTGTCCATAAGCATTCCAGATGGGTCAGTGGTGTACTTCAACATTTGGAGTATATTTTCTATGACATTCTGTTAACTAAGTCAAGGTTGTCTCAGCCAGTGGAGGTGTCAAGATGGGGAAACAAACTTACTAGTTGTAAGCTAGAAAATTCTTGCGGGTCTGAAGGCTTAAGGAAGGTATATGAGAAGTCATATTACTTCCACCTTAATTTGAAAACTAAAAATGAAGGAATTAACATAAAAGAGACCCTCAGAGATCACTCATTCCAATTGCTGACACCATGCAGCCTTTCTGGAAGGGAGCAGCCTACAGGGCAGACGGTCAGCGACTTTCTGCTGGAATCTTCCTGGGGCGAGGCACCTTTAGAGACAGCCTTTCCCACAGTTGGCAGGAAAGCTTTTGAAGACATCAAAATGAATCTGCCCCTCTCTAACTCTCGCCCCATTGGCTGAACTAAAATAATGCAAAAAAAAAGTCTCAATGCTCCACTTGTCACACAATAGCTCTCTAAATGCTAGAAAACAACCATCAAAGTCCCATAATCTTTTCTTCTCTAGACTAAACATCCTGTGGTTACTCAATATTTCCATCCAGCCTGGTTTCCCTGTCACTCACCAGTCTAGTCTCCCTCTTTTATAAGCTATTTTATCAACTATGACCTTCTTAGAGTGTTGTGTCTATTCCTAATGAGATCTAGTCAGTGGAAATATTTTCTCCCTTGAGCTGCACATTGTTGGCCAATTAATTTGCACTCGCAGGTGCATCGGGTTGTAAGATCCCAGTGTTCACCTAGTGCCTGGTACTCCCAAGCATTTTAGAATATTGAGTGAAGGTTGGGTTAATAAAAAAGTGTACGGGATATTTCTGAATGTGAAAATTACAGCTCCCTCCTCCCCTGAAGTTAACATTATTGAATTTTTGAAACTAAATGCAGGGACTTTCTATTTATTCCTATTAAGTTCAACATCTCGGTTTTAGCAATGTTCTTATTTACTGACATCCCTTCTCTCATCATTCAGTATATTAGCTTTCCATTTTTCACTCTTAACGTTGTGTCTTCCAGATAGTCAACAAGTATGCCTTACGCATCTTTTCCCTTGTCAGTTGTAAAGAAGTAGGTTACACAGGCCATGCCATTTTCAGGTCACATGACACCAGATAAACTCCAGGCTGAAAGAGGGGAAAGGGCTTCCCGGCATGCGATCACTGGAGGCTGATTCAGTTCGGGAACTCATCACTGTCATCTCTGAAAATATATAATGACTGACTGATTGTATATATTGCTATATAGATAGAATACTCTGTATTTTAGGATTGTCCTGGAGGTTTTACTCCATAATGGGATAAATACAGTCTTTTTTATAGGGTGGCCATAGCAAAAAAAATCCAAGAAGCTAACATTGTGCCTGTATGCAAAATACATTTGTGGAATAAATGAACAGTGTTAATGGGTGATGAAACTCTCAGTAGAGCCCTGAAATAATTCACCCTCCAAGGAAGTTCCGACTTGGCCCACAGGTATCTTTCAGATTGGACATGGCTCCATGGACCTGCTGATGTCTAGGTCTATATCGCTGATGTAAGACTCCTAAAGCAAGCTGGTCCTTAAAGGTAGGGAGCAGGATGCTTTTTAAAAAAATATTTTAAAAGGTATCATCCAACTCCCTTTTAAAGATCTGGCACTAAAGTAACCCTTGGCCTCTAATAGAGGTTAACGAAGGTTAACATTTTAATAGATTTCCATGTTGATCAAGATGATGCTTCAGCAGAGAAGGCAGAGGGGGGGCCCCAAGCAGTGGCGTCATCATCACTCAGGTGTGTGCCTGACCCTGCTCACCACCGTTACTCAGGTCATCGTGGTGAAGATCGTTCTCTCCAGAGATTCCCCTTTAGGTACAAACCTGTTTCCCCAGGAGGTATACCATATTAAGCTACAATACCTACTGCCCAGCAGGAGTTAGTTTATCAAAAAAGAGAAAGGTCAAATAAAAACAGGGCAAGGGAATCCAGTTAGTCATGAGCATGGTCATGGGTTTGAAAAGGTTGGAATGCCAAGGTGTCAGGTTCATTACCGGTAGGGACCAAAAGTATGTTAAAAAGCAAAAGACACCACACACTATTGTCAAGACAAGTCCTGTCCCCACCACTTATGAACTGCTTCACCTTACTATGTAATCTCTGCAGTGCTCAGTTTTCTCATCTTGAAAATGATGAGGTGATAAAACAACAGTGCCTTGCTCATAGCACTGCTGCAAGAAATGAATGGGATAATCCATTTACAATGTTTAGCACACAGCTGAGCACATAAAGACACTATATTGTTAGGATTTTTACTGTTATTGTTACTCTTTGGTGCTATCTAGTGAGACAGAACCGTTTGGATGGCTCCGGCATGCAGTCTCTGAAGGACTTGGAGAGCTAAGAACACACCTGGCCAAGGACACAATATTGTCTAATATCCAAATATGCTTCTATGTATTACCCAGCCTAAAATTAGCTGTGGGGGAGGCAGGTGATGTTGTGGAAAGACATCATGAGTTTGGAGTCTGACAGATTCAAGTTTGAATCCTTGCTTTTGAACCTACTGGCTTTATGGTTTTGGACAAATCATTTACACCTTCCCTGCTGGGGTCCTTCATTTACAAAATGATATTAATGATAAAGCTCATCAGATTGTGAGGATTAAATGAGTCAGAGCATATCAATGTCTATCTGAAGGCTGTCACAGAAATCCCAGGAGCCCGGCGTTCTGTCCTGGTACCTGCGGGGCCGAGGCTGGGGGAGAGGGAGGTTGGGTGTTTCGGACCAGCAACTAATGCCAGCTTTTTATTGTTTCTCAATGTTGGTGTTTTGTGGGAGGTTTTGTCTTCCCATTGTCTTGTTTCCCACTGTTCACAAAAAATCTTTGAAAACCACTGGCCTGGCAAACAGTAAGTTTTCATGTTTGGCAAGGTTTAAATGAGATCATCCACAAAATGCTAAGCCCAGTGGTTGTCGTTTACTGAGTACTGAAGCAACGCTGCATAGTCTTTTTCTTGCTCTTTCAGTAAATGCTTAGCTTAATCCTATGCCTACAGTGGCCATGCACCTGGTTTTTAGCACAGTTCTGGTTCAGTCTGTTGCCCTGGTGTCATTATTAGTAGGGCCACATTTCATTCTCAGAAGTGGTTTGGTTT